CGTACTGTGATCTAAAGAGCAATTTCATGTTTCAGTAAAATCGCCTATGTCCAGTTTTTTTTTTCAGTTTCAATAATAAGTTGTACGATATTTCACGGTAGCTCTTCGAAGAGGAATCAGTATGCGAAGCTGAACACGTTACCGCCTGTAGATAAAAACAACATCAGGAGGTAGTGACAGTGGCTATGGGTCCATTGTATGGACGTAAAAAGGATCCCTGTGAACTGAAGTCGCGAATGGCAGGCGCGTTGACAGAATTTTTTTTTTCGGAGGGGGTGCCACCTTGATTAGAACTAGGGGCTGGGCAGGCCGGTAGGTGTGGGCGACCGTTATTTTGCATGCTATATACCATGAGAAAACTTGGGAGGGGGAGGGGGGGCATGGGCTTGGTGTGCCACGTCCTGGCTACGCCACTGGCGGATGGAAACCCACATGGTCGGGTACACACACATGGGAATGGACGGCTAGGGAGGAGAATGTTGCTGGTGCAAACTACGGCAAAAGTTACCAGGGCGAGAAAAAGAAGCATTAGCAAAGATTAGAGCGGTACACGTATGATGTAAGAAAGACGGTTTCGTCAAATGCGCAGGCCGAACATGCAGAAGCAACTGGCCATGAAATAGACTGGAACAATGTAAAAATAATGAAAACAAAAAAAAGAACTAGACTTCCGGGCTATATATTGACTCTCTGTCAATTGAGAGTCCCATTTTAAAATATATGTAATCGAACTGTTTTCACATTCATGTTTCATTGTTAACGAGGCTCCCGTGTGGGAACTGAAATGTTCTGCTTTTTTGTAAACATTCATGGTTTATGCTCATTTTAACTCCATCACCTTTCAAAGCGTTCGGTCGAAGATAATTGGCTGCTATTCAAAAACGAAATGCTAGATCTATTCACCAAGCATGTGCCCACGATTACCGTAACCGAGAAAAAGTCATCCCCGTGGTTCAACATCACATTAAAACGCCTAAGTAACAAAAAGAAGTGATTCTTTCGATCGGCAAAGCCATCCAATAGCGCATGTGCATGGAACAGGTACTACGCTACAGAAAAAGAATTCGATAAACTTGCTAACAAAGAAAAACTTTTATTTTTTTCACAAACATTGCCCGCTATGTTAAGCAATGACCGCCGAAAATTCTGGCGCACAATTAACCCCAGTATTTTCCAACCTTTAGTACTGCACAACGATCAAAATCATCCAATTCCCTATCACGAGGCTGCCGAACAACTTAACAGCTTTTTTTCTTCTGTGTTTATCGTTGAACCTGTCGATAACTTGCCTTCATTTCTTAATCTCAACCATAGTGAGATGCCGGACATCACATTCTGCTCAAACGGCATCGCAAAACTAATCGACTCACTGAAACTCACATCTTCATGCGGCATCGATGGTATTAACGCGAAAATGCTCAAAAACACAAAATCCATTGCTAGTACACTACTCTGTCATATTTTTCAGCAGTCGCTATCATCAGGAGTGGTGCCGGAAGATTGGAGAGTGGGAAATATTGTTCCAGTGCCCAAAAAAGGTCCTTCATCTCTTTGCAGCAGTTATCGCCCCATTTCCCTTACTAGAATTTGCTCCAAACTAATGGAGCATGTTATTCACTCTAACATCGTCAAGTTCTTAGTCAGCAATAACTATTTTCATTCCAGTCAGCATGGTTTTCACTCAGGATTTTCATGTGACACACAACTAGCTTTATTTTATCATGATATCAGTTCCAGCCTCGACATAGTCCCGCATCAATGGCTACTACTAAAGCTTTCTCGTCTAAACATTAATACAAATGTATTTAATTGGATTCGCAGTTTCCTTACCAATCGCCAACAATTTGTGCATGCTAACTCCGTCTCATCTAGCCGTTAATCTGTAATCTCTGGTGTGCCGCAAGGTACAGTGCTCGGACCATTACTTTTTCTCATTTACATCAATGACCCTCCATCAAACATCTCTTCAAGCATTCGCCTCTTTGTAGACGACTGCGTCGTATACCGTCCCATAGCAAACAGTGCTGAAACTACTACACTTAAAAACGACCTCAATCTAATCGTATCCTGGTGTGATAAGTGGTAATGCCTTTAAACATAAAGAAAACTTCATTGGTATCTTTTCATTGCAGGCCCCATCACCACTCAGCAGAATACACTATTTCTGGCACTGCAGTCTCACCCGCTGAATCATACAAATATCTTGGTGTCACATTTTCAAGTAACATTTCCTGGTCAGCCCACGTGACTAACATAGCCAACTCCGCGAATCGCACTCTGTGTTTTCTACGTAGACACTTAAGACTTGTGCCCCCATCAGTTAAACTAATATGATATGTCACACTTGTTCGTCCAAAATTAGAGTATGCATGTTCTGTCTGGGATCCCCATCAATCTCATTTATCCAACATTCTGGAATCGATTCAAAACCGTGCTGCACGTTTTATCTACTCTGAATATACCTACCATTCCAGTGTTTCCAAACTTAAAACTCGTGCTTACCTTTCTAATCTAGAATTACGACGTCACATATCTCGACTATGCCTTTTTTACAAACTTTATCACGCCCCCATCGAAGTTCCAGCCATCCTGCCAGTTCATCGCTCATCAAGTCGCACAAACCATTCAAGCGCAGTGTATCCTCCACCAGCCCAAAGCACCGCACATCTTCGCTCCTTTTTTGTGACAACCGCATGGGACTGGAATCGTCTGCCTACAACTACCGTGCACCACTCCGACCCGCATCAATTCAAGATTGCCCTCGAATCACTTTTTTTATTCTGTAATTATTACCCATCCCTCATGTAATACCCCAGCTGGGGCCTTTGAGGTATTCAAAATAAATAAATAAATAAATAAATAACAACAAAGAGAGGTGACAGTGACACTGCTAGCGGCCGCGACAGTGACATTGCGTACGTAGCGCACTGTGGCACGCCCCTGGTAACGTTTACTGCAACTTTCTGCATTGTGTAGTTTGCAGAAGTCTGCATTGGTGAAGTCAGAGCAATACAACGCTGTTAAAATATGAAAACACCGTGAAGGCGCTGTTAACAACAATGCATCAAACCGCCAGATTTTCTTTGCCAGCGAGGCGAGATCACGTGATCCAACCCCGGACATCACAGCGATTGCAGCGCTCGCGCCTCCAGTGGTGGGCCTCGCGCCTAATAATTGCTATTGCAATAAAAACGAAAAGAAATAGGAGGCAGCATGAAGACTTGCGGTCAGCTTTCACATGACAAACATTTCTGACACTGTTCTCGGAATCTACAACCGCTGCAGATTAACCAACAACGTCTTCGAACGCAAGAAGCCATAAATGCGAAGAACGATAACTTTCACTGCGACGCTCAACTTTCCGACCCCACAATGTGCCGCAAAAAGTTTCAGCAACGACCAAGTTCGGCTGATTAGTGACAACTACTTCCGTGCAGTTGCAGCGGTGCCTTAACGGTAAGCATCAGAAAAGAGCGATGGCGCGACAGCCGGTGGCGATGAACTTGTCCTTCTACTCAGCGCTGGCAACCTCATCTCAGTCATCTGCAGATAGCTGCTCAATATAGTGACAGCGGTACAAGTGCATCACGGCGCCGTTCGCAATTAAATTCGCCGCCGTTGCGTCGTGCGAGGCCGCTTCCGCGCGTTGCCTTTGTTGTCTTAAACGAACAGGCTACTCGCTGCACCCGAGCACGATCCCGAGTGAAGCATGCACAAAGAAAGCACAAACGCGGGCATATGTTGGATTGGAAGCGAACTGGCATGCGGCGGCGAAAGCCGAGTAAGCGACGTGCTGCACGCAACTAGCCAGGTGTGATCGGTTCAGCGAGGCGGTATACTGCACTTCACTGGAACGGCCAGAGTCCATTGCGTCATTTCACACGTGAAAAGGGCTAACTTGTGAGCGGAGGGGTCGTTCCCACTTTTGAAGAAAAATGCACAAGGAACAAAAAAAAAAATCATTTGGTCACTAACCCAGACAACACTCGATGTCCTGAGGTCGTCCTCATACGGTACAATCGTCCTCGCACAGTTATCATTGACCTTAGTACTTACTGAGGACGACGCAAGCTGTTTTGACCCGGAAATGTCTTTTCGAATGCTTTCTGAGGACAACAATTGGTCCGGAAAAGGTCCTGTCAAGGATCTTTTGGGGATAACAATAGCATTGCACTGAGCACTTAGATATAGTTCCTCAAAATCTTTGCGCACCAAGTAGATGCATTTCATATGTGAAAACTTTCTCCCCACATTTGTTTCATACAGTTATGAAGTTATTGTATATTTTTGCCTCGTTTGTTTCTTTTAATTTTGGCAGAAAACTTTCAAATTATGCCTTCCGCTTAATGAGACGCACGTAATTCATTGGCTTGGGTATCGAACCTGGTATTGTGAAATATACATTTGAAACATTGTGTTCTTAAATGTCACAACCTTAAATTAGTCATTATACGCCGCTGTAGCGCGTATTAACAAACTAGCAGCTGGCAACCACTGACCATGCAGCACCATTGTGGATAGTCAAGTAGCCAAGCCAATCCAAGTCAACTGACTGTCAAAATGGGGTTTGTAAGGGAAGGTGCTGTGTACTAGTGAAGGGTCGTGTCCTTTGTTATTTGTGCGCATGGTTAAAAGTGAGATATTTGTGAGAGTGTAAGTCGTAGGTGGTGGCGGGAGGTAAATTGCCGTGTCGATGGGTGCACTGGGCTGCTCAACGTTCAGACTGATCATGGATGTATTGTCACCAGCCGACCGCTGCGAGGTGTGGTTCGAAGCATTCTGGAACACCAGCCAATCGCGATCAATTGTGCTTTGAAGCAGCCTGGTCCCAACGTGAAAAGGATCGACTTCTGCATCTGACACATGGCCCGACCTCGGGCAAGTCAAGTCAAAGCCCAAGTCGAGTGTACTGGTAGGCTGTCATAGCGGAGCCTCTAACACTAGTGAGTGCGTTGTGCACGATACATGTGGTGATGAGGACACTGTTGGTGTTTTTCACTGGGAGATTCAGAGCGACCGCCGAAATCCCGGAGCGAGCACTCGGATCGCACGAAGCCACCTCTGCCAGTGAAACACGAGAATGCTCCGTGAGAGGTGCCCCGGAAGTTGATTATGCATACGTCACGCAAACCGGTTCCGGAAACAGTTTATTTTTCCGCTCTCTTCGTTTCCTTGGCAACTTTGGCCGCCACTGCAGGGCGCGCATTTCGACCACGCAGTTAAAGCTTTGTAGAACACTTTAACGCAGTCGCGAACAGCAGTTGTGTAGCAAGTATGGACGAGCACGCGGAATTGACACCGGCTGTGCGTCGGCTGTTGCTGGGCGTTTTCAGAAACAGCGGCAACGATCTGAACGGTAAGTGCGACGTACTTGACGCTGATAATAAACTCTGCACGGAATGCTAACTTTGATAGCTCCGCATGAAGACTGGTCAGATAATTGTAAAGCATGCGGGTACACGTGGTAACGGCCGCAATCGGCGCTCGCAAAAATACGGCATGTTGTGAGCAGGCTTTTTTTTTAATCAGAGCAGTTGCTTACCCAACACCTTACAGTCCTACTATTTAGAATATCACAAGCGCCGGAATTTTCGCAGCGCTCACCAAGCTGCTGTATTACCTTTAATAAAAATGCATGGCGATCTCTGTATTCGCGCATGAATACATGCATGAAAAATTTACTAGAGAAGTAACGTTTTCTTGGTGATTCTTGACCTCTACTCTTTTGGTGTTAACCCGCAAATGTCTTTTCTTTTTCTCTATTTGAAGGTGCTACACAGTGTGACGCCACCGACGCTTTGTCACATACACAGGGCGCATTTTTAGGAAATGGTAAATTGGTCTACATGTGTCTCTGTAGAACTAGTTTTGTATACAGTCGTCTATATATGTAGAGGACAATGCCTTGACGAGCAACGTGTAAGGACTACTTGAAGAAAATTGTGTACCTGCTTAAAATTAACACATATTAACATACTACAATGCTTTTCATTATCAAACACAGATTCTGCAGCGTCTACTGGTGCGTCACCAAGTCGGGCTTGTCAGCCAGGGACTCCTGCACGTGGTAAGCATGCATACACAAACATGCTAGTGGCATTAGGATGAAGATAGGTCCAGCAGATTGCAAACCCTCTCAAAAAAACCACGAATTACGCAAAACCATTTAATGGCTTCTTGCTCACGCTTCTCAATATTGGGTGCTTAAATAATAAAATTGAATTCAACGAATAGTCAGCTGCACGAAGAGGCCCCATATTTATTATGCAGTGTTTTCAAATTTACTCTCTAAGAAAATTATGCTGTGAATAAGTTATGTATAGTAATATTATGAATTTGCATGATTGTCTGTTCTGATATGCAAAGCGATCCCACAGCACCCAATATTTGCTGTGCCAAAACAGTGTGACAGTACTAATGCTTTACAGTAAGTGTTCTATGGCTCAGAGAGCATATAGCTTCGTGCCCTGTATCAAAAAAGTCTATTAATGCCAGTTTATATGTATTTTATGTGTGTATAATGCATATTTCAGCTGCAGGGTGTGAGTGGACGAGTGGCGAGACGAAGCTGCTGCTGGACCTCTACGCCTCATATTTCCCTCAAGTTGGCCCTCTGAAAAAATTTCGCAACAAAAGGCCATGTTTGAAAAAATTGCAACAGACATTAATAATAAACTGGGTGTAATGAGAACTGTGAGCAGTGCTGCTCTCGGTACAAAACCGTACTGAAAAGAAAAAATGTGGCAGCTGGGAAAAATAATACGTCTGGCTGTTCCCCACAAGAAGTCCCCTACGAGGCCGCAGAAAAATCGGCGGATTGACCATAATAACGAAAATAAATTAGGAAAAAAGGGAACTCTTCAGTATCACTTTCAAGAGTCAAGAGTTGAACGTGATATCAATATTCCGTCCGTAGTGCTTACTTCAACCATTTAGTGTAGCTTATTGTACGTGTTACTCTGGATGTTTAAATTGTGGTATATTCAATGTTATGGATAAGGTTTAAATTGGCTTGTGTCAGTCAAGCTTTCCCATATGGCTGCATTCCACGTAATGGGTAGCATGCTTTAAATCACGAGCAATTATGCGCGCGAAAGGTTTTGAACTTGCTATGCAGTCTCAGCGGAATACCCGCAGCAAAGTGTGTGCCTTTCGTAATGGGTGGCCGGCTTTAAACTATAAAAATCATGTGTTTTGACACTTGATTGCAATGTACGCTTGTATCAGGCAACATTACTGCAATGTTACATATTGTATTGAGGAGCCTGTATACACACTAGAAATTATTTTCACTGCAGTTTCAAGTGAAAAAAAAAAAAAGCAGACGCGTGGCTCTTTGGAAGAACACCTGCTTTTCACGCATCCACGCAAACGTCGTGGCTTCGATCCACATTCCAACCCGTGAATTTTAAATTTACACTATTTTATTTACATCTTTCTCAATTTCTTGGTCACGAACAAGATGATGATTCTCTTGCTCACAATCAACGAGGCCGACGCCGAGTTTCGGCGAACTAAACTTTTAACGCTATCCCGTTAATGCAGCAAAGTATCAGCATTAGAAAATAGCAGTTTCACAGTGAATAAAAAAATCACGACAGTGCTCAATATATACAATCATTATTCAGAAGCTGATAAAAAAAAGTGGTCTTACAAGTGAACAGCCTCACAGCAATAGCTAGAGCATACCTGAATGGGTGCGGGTGCGGTAACGGTGTGTTGCAGCTGGAAATAGGCTACCGTGACAGCCTTCATGGTCTGGTCACACTGGCACATCAGCTCACGGACTTGCTGCAGCACCTCCGCCTGGCCAATACACAAATAGCATTAATATAGTGTTGGGCAATGAGCACATAGCGACAAAGAAGTGGTGGTTCAGGTTCATGAACAATTTAGCAGGTACACCATGACGATAAAGCGTCATATCCTGCTTAAAGTTATGCACGTCGAGAATACTTTTCGGCACCTGACTCCAGTGGCCCTATAATGCACTTTGATGACTATCCCAACGTTCGTCCAACAGTTCGTATTCTTCACACACTTCGTGCATACGTCATTAGAATGAAAAAATATTGCAGACCACGAGATTTCCCGAAAAAGTCGAATGTTTCTGCCGCCTCACAGCGCAGCCTGGCATATGCACTTCGGTATTCAGCTGCAATATGCTTGCACCATTGTCGCACAAAGTTTCAGCAGCTACTGCTCCAAGCTGCACGGGAACTAAGTCTTTTATATGAGAAGAAGCTTTTTGACACACGCGTGTAACGTACCCCTATGTATGAGCATCCGTACAAACACTCAAAAACGTGTTCTCCTCTCCGCAGGTGTTGGAGCTATGCCAAGTTGGTCACGCCGCAGCTGAGCGTTGACGTCACGTTTCCCTTGGAAGTGCACGCTGACGTCATTCTCTTCTTCACCTGCACCACGCTCGCCGGAGAGCCCGCAGCTGCCGGCTCCTCCGCCCACTTGCAACACCAACTCTCTTTTTCATCTCTCGCTTCACCTATCCACACACTTCTCCCCCACCCACAATGCGCGATCGCATGTCGAGTGGAAACACTCTTTTGGCTCGTTTATCTGCAATAAAACTTACAAGAAACCCAAACCGTCTCCCGTGTCTTCGCGTTTCAAACAAACATTTACTCGAGTAAACCCTACTGCAAGTTTCACATTTAAACCGTTCTTCCAGCACCCCACCGACGCCCTTTTCAACAGGGTCAATGCCGTGCGCACCGCTGCTGCTTTCGCATCCCGTCAGGGCTCCCTTTGAGGAGATGGTTCAAATTTTTTATGACACCGTGGTCTGTAAACTTTTGTGGTTAGCTGTGCATCATCAACCTACGCTGCTAACCACTAAGTTGACTTCTTCATTATGAACGCTTTATTTAACGGATAGAACCTCGACGCAATGAGCAGCCAACCAAGTGCTTTTGCCTGCCATACGCACTAAAATTGAAACTGAGCGCGGATTGCATGACCTTGCTGTCGGGTTGGCTCAGTTCAGAAACAGCCGCGTTTTAACCTGTGAACGTCTATGCTCTAGACCACTTCCACCTAGTAGCATTGATAACGCACAACTAGTGGTTTAGAACGAACATGATCATTACTCAGTGATTAAATCAATCTTAATAACGACGAATGGAGGTACATTAGAGGGCCGGTTTAGCGGTAATCACACAGACTGCGTTTCTCACACGGTTAGCGTGGTGATGAGTGGTCGCTTAAAAAAAATTCCCCCACCTCCCTGAAGCGAACTGTGCGAGAGAGTGCGAGAATTAACGTTTATTTAAACTTGTCAGTAACTGAAGTGAGTGGGGCCATACGCCCAGAGCTTCACTGGCTATAGCAGCTCGCCGGGCCTGGTCCAGGGTTGCCAACTGGTTTCCCAGGGTCTGATCCGAGAGTCTCACCTCCCACGACCAGTGTAGTAACATGTGGGTTTCTATGAGCGTCGAGTTTCCCGCAACAGGACGCGAGAAACAGCTGTATGTAATGTGTGTAAGTGTTGACACCCTTCCGCACCAGGAGCACTCATCTAGATATTCAGAAGGGTGTATTTTAAATAGTGTGTAGGTTGAGATAGATGTTCGTCTGAAGAAGGCGCCAGTCTCTTGATTGAAATACGAATGCATTGCGTAGCGTCTATAACTGCGTTTCGCACATAAGAACCCAAAGTTAGAAAAATAACACATTGAGAATGCTCTGTTTTCAGCCAGTTCCAAGGCAGCACAAATGCTGCAAACACGTTTCATCGCACTGTATTGAGGCGATAGCAAGTCACATTTAAGTAAAGGAGGTGGGGCCTCCGGTTGCTAGGGGCGAGGATAAGCACGCGCACCCACAGCTTCTGCTATGGGAGAGGATGTTAGATTGATACCGACGAACGCCTGACATAGCCTGACTAAGGAATGCATTCGCATTTAAAAGTTGTATAACTTCTCAGCTTCCCAAATCCTCTACCTAACTAACATAATCAAACAAGAGATGCATATATTTATTGGAACAGGTTGCTCAACATCCACAATGCATTTATTGTCCGTGTTGGGACGTCAGAGCTCTAGTTTATAGCACTGCCACTGAGTGTGGGAAATCTAGAAAAATTATAAAAGGGGACACACATCTTGCCACAGCAGCCATTTTGCTGTATAAATGTAGATGTTATTTTTATTACAGCCATTGTTAAGAGATTCTTGGGATAACACGCGAAAACACCGCTCTTATTTTTCACTCCAGGTCCATTTTCAATCGTGTATACTTATTCAAAATAGCCTCCCATTATTAACCCCATAAATTTTTGTTGCAATTATATGGACACTTTTGGCTGGTTTTAGCAGCGAAGCTTTTCTTAGCTGAGGGTTTCGTGTTCGGCATTGCAGTGGTGCTGGTCACGTGACCTCGCATTGTGGCGAGAGTGAGCATCACAGGGAAAAGGGAGAAGTACGTGTGGCAAGGGAGACACGAGGGTGGGGGCGGAAGATGTAAAGTGGCGAAGTTTCGAGAAAGGCGCCAAGATGGAGTGATGCGGTGAGGTACAGTTGAGTGTAATGGCGTATTCGGCTGGCCACTCTGGTTCTCTGGCTCAGTGTCGCCAGATGCACAGGCAGCTCGCAATCGGAGTGCGAAAGGCAGCGTACCAACCGAATACATCGGTCATCTCAGAGTGCCCAGAGCAGTGAGCCTGTACCGAATCATGCAGCCAGTGCGGGAAGCTGCCAGGTAAACATAGCTGCACCGCGACAACATTGTCAACAAATGGAGCCGATCACTTCAGTGCCCATCTGTGACATGTCTTAGCTTTGTCATATTCTTTATCTCTCTGGCATGTCTGGATGTAGTGAAAGCCTAAGCTCAGCACATAAATCTCACGATCGTTCTCAGCCGAACTGCTACCTTCAAAGCAAATCACGAGTCTTTATGCGTGCTGCTGTAATGACAGCATTGACGTCTCCTCCACCTTCACTAGTCACCTCGTTATTGACATGGTGCATTTATGGCTTCGTGGATATCAATTCGCTCCACAAACGGGTGAAAACGCCGTTAACAACACACGTGTACGGAGTGTTACGCGCCCGGCGATTCCTTTTTCCGAAATGCACGCTCACGCTCCTCACCTCGATCACCTTCCAGCAGTAACGTGATTCGCTGGCCTGTGCCACGTGATTCGTCCTCCCGGTCAGATCGCACCACGCTCTCACTTTGAAGTCAGCGCGGTTGGGAGTGCTCCAAGTCGGAGGCTGACGCTCTGAAAGAACCAACCGAAGGTAGTCCGAGCGCTCGAATTCTACCAACCGAAGGGGCAGCCACTTTTCAGAGCATTCTAGAGCGCTCAAAAACGCCCAACCGAATACGCCATAAAACAGCATGTCACTGCGCTTTTAAGATGGCGAGCATTTCTCATTGTTCCGATGAAGAAGCCGCTCGACGTGAGCGGCGTCAGCTTGAGTTGACGCAAAATGGGCATGTCATAGTCGAGAAAACTGCGATGTCCGCGCAAGAGGGGCTTCGGAGTAAGCGCCTATGAACGGGACTTGAACAATATTGAAGTACGACATATATCCTAATGAACGACGGGCATAGGCTTCGTTGTTCACTTAGAAAAAGTAATTTAGAAAAATATTTCGGAGAGATATTTTGCGCAACGTGCGACCTCGTAATCGAACCAGCAACACCTCGCGAGGCGTTAGACGAATCGACCACGGTGAATATATACATCATTTTAGTATATCAGCGGTGAACTATTTATATGTTTCCTTCACAGCTGGTGATGCGTAGAGCTCGGAAGCACTTTAGCTTGTTCCCTTTCTCACCAGCGAGATTGCGTCATGGGCGTGCTGTAAAGGTCGCCGTCTGATGTGCCCGCGCCTCAACCAGTGGGCAAAGTAGAGATGGTATACCATCTCTACTTTGCCCACCGGATGCGATCACCAGTGCGCGCGTGCTTATCTTATAATGGGGGTTGTTTGTATGACTTGTGCCTTCACTGCAAAAGTTTGCGTACAGAGCGCTAGACGGTGACTTCGCTTGCCGCAGCGGCCGCATCTGCAAAAGGAGCGAGCTGCTCAAACACGATGCAGTTACATCTGTAGCTGCTACATCAGTATACTCCTGGGTATTCACGAAGAGATCGCGCTATAGGTGGCAGCACCGTCCTGCCCAAGTGTGGATAGGCTATAGTGCACCATAAGTGTAGATAGGCGGTCTGAGCCGATTGTCGGCAGATAAAGTGCGTTGAATACAGTTTACTGTTAATACGCTCTTCTCTACTGGATCAGTGCAGGACGCCTATGCAAGGTTAACACTACCCGCGAAGTAAAGCGCATCCTGCCTTTCATAGGAATGCTCACCCTGGGTGACTCTCCTCATGCTTTCGCACTAAATCACGCCTTTGGTATGTTCAGAAGAATGGTAAGTTGGGCTAGTTGGTACTGATCCATAAGGTATGTAACTGCGCAAAAAACTGACGGAAACAAGAAGGAGAGCTTGTCTGTCCTTTTTCTGCGCTTGTCTGTCCTTTTTCTCTCCTTCTTGTTTCCGTCAGTTTTTTGCGCAGTTACATACCTTTGGTATGTTGTTTGTAAGTGGTTAGCTTTTGTTCCGCCTGCTACGCACTGCTGTAGTGTGACTGTACTATCACTTACATCCTTGTCATCCACATACTACAAAAAAAAGAAAGATCGTAGAAAGCCCGCGTATCTGTACGATTCGTTCAGTGCCATCATTCGCACCTTATACGCATATAGTTTTTTTTTCTCTCATTCTGTTCACCATGAATGGTAGGACCTGGCCAGATAAACGCAACTTAGGCTCCTCACTTGATCGATAAACTACAGTGCCATAGTTGTACACCTACCAACAGCGCGCAAGTGCATGTCTTAGAGCCTGTTTTTTTCTTTTGTTTTTGGCTTTTTTACAACCGAGTCACCATAAAATGTTGCATTCACACAGCATTTAATAGTGTTCATGTTTGGGAGGACGCCAAGAGCATTTTGAGATGTGCTTCAAATAGAGAGGGGCACCCACTCTGAAATTTATCTGGTGAATAGAGGGTACGACGACATAAACAGCATTCTGGAAAGTTGCACTCGCCGATCTCATTACAATGCATTAACAGTTTGAGCAAGACCAAATGGTTTTTACGTCGTTTCAGGCATATATACGTACAGTTACACTCGTGCTTACATAAACGGACAAACCACACTTTGAGAACGTGCATGACATACATGCACATAGACATCTGACGTGGCTAGCAGATGAAGCAAGAAGCAATCCACACTACACAGTTTCGGCCAGTTGCCGCCAGGCGGCGACTCTGCTCGGTCTCGCGGGCTCTTCCTGGAGCCAAACTGCTAGAGACCTGTGTACACTGATTTAAGTGCAAGGTGAAAAAGCGCAGATTGGAAAAAAGTGCCGGAGCTCTCCGCTACAGTGTTCCTCATAATCCTTATAAAACGGTTCCCAGGCATAAAAATTCCACAATTATTATTATTGCCAAGGTATTTCAAATACGGTGCCTGAAAGATAATTCTCAAGGTGAGGGACAATTCAATAGAGAGATGGAGGAGGGTGTCCCCCGTGAGCCTGATGCCAAGGGGGGTCAGGAACACCATTGGTACCTTTATGACTTGCGCAAGTTCTGCTGTCACTATGCAACCGAAGTCTTGAACGGACCACATTGATTGATATGTGGCGTTCGCAGCGTTCCAAAAAACCGCCATATAATTATAAGAGATGTCGTAGTGGAGGGTTCCGGAAATTTCGACAACATCGACGTTTTTTAATGCGCACCCAAATCTGAGCACAAGGGCCTACAGCATTTTCGCCTCGATCGAAAAAGCAGCCGCTGCAGCCAGGATTCTATCCTGCGACCTGCGGGTGCAGCCGAGTACTTTAGCCAATAGACCACTGCGCCGGGACCACAGGACAACGTCGTAGCATACCTTAGTTCTTTCCAGCGCGACGATGCGCTCGTTGGCCTCCACGACACACGCCTTGTAGGTGGTCTCGGCCTCGCGGGCCTTCTGGAGGGCGTCCTCTTCGACGCGACGTCGTCGCTCGTCCCCGTCAGCCCGCTGGGCGGCCTTGTCGTGCTCCTGGTGCCGCTGCACGTACAGCGCGCGGGCCTTGCGAACGTTCGCCTCGAGCTCTTGCTGCGAGAGAGGCAAAATGTGGTGTTGTACGCGAACCGCAGATACATGCAATCACCACAGGCATACGCGTGGTTTTCCCATTAGGAGGAGCAACATTTCTTTGCAGCCTCCCCCACACCCTTCTCCCAGTGGTCGAGTCACAAACACGGAACGCTGCACAACAGACTAAAAAAGAAGAAAATAAAGCGATGACGTGCTCCTCACAATAACACAGCTTTAGTCCTCGGCTTTTCTGTAGTAAAGATGGAAGATGAAAAGTCCTTCAAATTGAATGAGAGGGTCCTTGTGCCGACCTTACTGTCAAAAACCTCTAGAACCGTAAAGGCCTGACCCAACGTATCTGTCTCAGGGCGTCAGCGCATGGTTTTTTGGCTCTCTTCGTTCGGGAGAGGGTCCGGCGCCACGTCAAAAGGGCACGTGCCGACGTTCTGGGACGGATACGTCGCATCAGGCCTTGATTCTTAAAAACACCAAGCCCGCGCAAAATTCGCCACAGCGCTTCTGTCACAGCTACAGCTGGAAAAGGAGCCTTTATTAACCATTCTTTGCGTGTACTGCTACAAGCACACTTGCTGGATACCCACTATGCCATAAACAACCATAACTCTTGTGCTATCCCTCGTCATTCTTCGGAGAAGCGTAGTATACAGAATTGCTAGAAATTTTGTGCAATTTTTTATGCAGTGGCTGACAAGGATGAAGAATTATGCCTGAAGTGGGTATGAGCCAAACTAAGAAGTGATTAAGAACAAGCTTCTGTAAAGGGTTGGAGTAATGAACGACCCATTCGTTATGCAATACGCATTGTGCGACGCCTGGTTGATGCTTCGGTGTTCGAAAATGCTTTATTAGTCATCCTAAGGTGATTCCTTTCTCGATAAATACTTACTATGTCGATGTCTTGACCTCTGGCCACAATACCCTCGCCCTGATTACATAAAAACAGATATGCGCTACTCCTTGGTTCCCCGATTCTCGCAACATCTCACCGATCGAAAGCACAATCCTCATGCTCACACACCACACTGAAAACAGCGCTGCTGTTGCAAACGGAACGCCTCGCGGGGCAATTATGGGGAGGAGCTATTTTCTCATCGCAAAGAAACCCTGAGCAGTGAGTGCTTTTGGGGCTCAGTTACCATAAAAAGTATATGTATGGCCCAGCAGTCCCTGTTAAATGATAAACAAAAATAATGATGATACTTCCACAGCACACTCTTAATTGCAGCGATGTTGACTGAAGCTTTGCCTTTCCTTTCTTTCCTCCACAGATAGACTTATAAACATATGAATGTAAGTTCACATATGAGGACGAGATCGCTCAAGAAGTCGTGCTGCACATCGGTTGTTTATAGAAGAAGACGAAGGAGAAGAACAAGATGGACGTTTTGAAAATGATGAAGGTGAAAGATTTCTTAAAGAGGAACTAAACAGAGCACAGCAAAACATCTGTACTTGTAGGCTTAGCTATGCTAGTACACAATCATCTCACCATTCGCTTCAGTTCTCGGTGCCACGCTTCCTTGAGCTGCTTGCGTGCCTTCTCGTGTTCGTTCCTCCTGGCCGACAGAGGCTGCAAAAGAAGAGGCAAAACAGGAGTCACGAGCAGCATGCACACAATGATGCATGTGCACACGAAGGCACACAAAAAAGCTCTTATATGCTCGCCATTAGCGGCGGCGGCTTCCAAGTCAGATAATGTGCTTAAAGTGCTTGAAACTATCAAGCAGTTTAGGTTGATAAATTAGACTACGAAAAGTCTATCATCCCTAACTTCACCATCAAAGGCTCATTATTAGAAGGAAAAATCGAGGTCAAAGTGTCATTCTTCAGCTTCGCACCGAAATCTCCGCACAAGAGATCACGGCTTTCGAAATTACGACCACACTGGCTGAACGAAACATTTTCCGAAACTTGGCATACTTGGTCCACGAACTTCTCAGGGTACAATGTACTTGGGGTAATGACTTTAGCCCAGGCAGATGGTGTTAAAAGTTGTGATGTCATTGGTGTGGGAAATTTTAAGTGGCGTCCCCACCACCAGCATTTTATTCTAGCATGTTCTCTTGCTTACCTAGGTGAATTTTAGTGGCAAGCATGCTGACTTCCGTATTGTGATGAAACAGTAATCTGTATATGCAAGAAAAAATTTATGAACAATCCCCCAAGAGAACCATGATAGAATGCGAAGCAGCAGCGGCGCACACGCCATTGATTTGGCTGAAACGGGCTTCGACGCGGGTGCTGGAAGAAATATTTGAAGCCAAACTCTATGTAGCCTTTACTCAAGTGAACATTTTTTAAAAACGCAAAGACACTAGAGACGGGTTGGTATTCGTGTAAGTTTCAACGCAAATAAACGAGCCCAAAGAGTGCTTCCCCTTAACGTGCGGTCGAGCATTCTGGGGAGGGGGTTGTGTGAAGAGAGTGAAGAGATAGAGAAGCGTTTTGCGAGCCGGCTGAGCAGCAACACCACCTAGCTGTGTTGGGAGGAGCCGGAAGCTGCTGCGGGTAAGGGAGAGAATGACGTCAAGATGCAGCTACGACTTGACCTACTTGGCATCGTTCTAACGACTACGGCGAGGGGAACGTGGAGCGGCCCGTATAGACAGGGGATAGACAGCGTTACACGGGCTAGTCAAAAAGATGCTTCGCATCTAAAATCGTTCTTTTTTTCTTTAGTGCCCCTTCAAGGGTGTCATGGTATACGGTCAGACTACCTTGAAGACCATGTTTAATTAGTAGGAACTTTCCATTGCACAGGCAGGTTACTCCGCTTCACTTTATTATGCAGCTATGAACGAAGACGACCAGAGGACTGGAGACACATAGCACCGTTCTTCAGCACTGTTTGTGAAAATGCAGAATACGAGCATATATGAAACATAAGGCTCTCTTAAATTGTTCTATTAGGTCATTGAAAATTAATTTTTTATGTGGCAAAATGCCAGAACCGTAACGTCTTGTGCGGGTGTTCTGAAAAATGTGATACTACTGGGCTTAATTGTCTGGTGATATGCATTTCCTTGAGAATGTCTTCGCTGCACTGAATTGCACGCCGAATATGGTTCAGAATTCCCGAAGAATCAAGCAAAGCTGAAAAAAGAGCTGAAAGCGCAGGACGCAACAGGCATTATGTAATCAGCGGGAATGATAGTGGCATAAAAAGTAAAATGCTGTTCCAGCTAAAATGTGATTAATGCCTGAATTGCCCACTGATTTCTCGGTGGACAAGTCAATGGACACGTAACGAATAAATGAAGTATGAAGACGTGAGGGTTCACTGAAACGTATTTATTATTCTTGTTATTGCTATGCAGCAAGCGTAATGTCAGCACGATTTTTAGCTTTCAAGCATATAATGAGCCCTAAGCCATCTTTAATAAGCATGAATTTAGCGATACAAGACAGTGCTCTCAAGTTAGCGCTCTGGGGACCACTTATATTTTGTAATCTCTTGTTGATGTTTCACTAATCTGTCACTACAGCACCTCTCATAATCATATGGTAGTTTTGGGACGTTAAGCCCCACATATAAATCAATCAATCAATCAATTAATCACCGGTTGGCAAATTTGCAACAGATGAGCCATTATTTGGGTGTCTTCAAATAACTTTAGACAACAGTAAGCAAATAAAAGAAAGCTGGTACAATACACGGTTTTCATACTTGCAAGTTGCATATGCCTTACTGTCTGTACGCTTTCATAATGAAGACTTGTTGATTATTCACTTATTTGTACTAAACGATACAGTAGTATAATACAAATACGAAGTAAATATAATACAGAAAGGGGTCCTAAAGTAAAAACCCTCAGATACCTCCTGTTTGTACACACACAAAAATGCAGAACGAGGATTGGGAACTAAGAAATTTATAACATTACTGGCATTCCAAGGTTACAAAAGCCGCGTCAAGTTATTTTTAACACGACAACTTTCCTTTCGTCGTCCAATGTATCGAGAACTTTCAAATCTAGTTTTGCTATACTCAATAACAACCACTTAGTTTGGCCGAGAAGTTGCCTGCACTGCATCTCACACCAAAGAAATCTCATTTGGGCAACTTCTAAAGCACTTTTGCCCGCATTTATGCTTTGATTGCCGTGCATGTCGGTGTCATCTAGTTGATTTTCGAACTTCAACAACAACAACAACAACAACAATAATAATAATAATAATAATAATAATAATAATAATAATAATAACAAGAACAACAACAATAAGAAGAAGAAGAAAAAGAAGAAGAAGGAGAAGGAGGAGAAGAAGAAGCAGAAGGAGGAGGAGGAATGGCTTTGTGTCCGTGCAAGCGAGCACTCGTTACCTCGACGAACTTGTGGTCGTGTAGAAGCGTGCAGTTTGAGAGGCAGTTGTTGGCGTTGTCCAGGTCTTGGTCAATGGCCGTGCAGTAGATGGACTGGAACGGCAGGAAGCTCTGCGCCCCACCACACAACAAGTCACAATTCAAACGAAACAGACTCAGGGAAGTTCAAGGTAATGAGATGCCAGAGAAGCCTCTGGAGCCAACAGCAATTAACTTACAAGATCAAAGGGTGTGCAGAGACTTTGCGAAATTACCGCTAGGGGAATGCGCCATGCCAACATGATAACGTCGCATTGTCCTGCAGCTTTGCCGAAGACAGGTTCATATTTCGGGGACAACAGCTGGCCTCAGCTACGCTTCTTGTCCGATGGTTGTTCATCACTTTAAAGGTTAAGTAACACTTTATCACTAATGTAGTCAAATCACACCAATGCATTTTCACAGAATCTATAGAATCTATATGCCCTTCTACTAGAGTTCCAATGAAACAGTAGTATGCAGCTTGTTCTGATTTTGTTCACTATAAATGCTACCATGTTGCTTAAATGCTGCTCTTGTATAATTACCTTCCGTAGCTTCTCCAATTGAACTAAGAACTACTTGTGAAACGACACAAGAGCACCACAAGGTGTTTTTTCGCACTCAGAGGACATTACGTTTGAATATAATGCACGTTATCACCTCTACTTGTAAATATATTGCAGTCGTACGCGCTTATAAAGACCACAGACATAACGATCTAGCGGCTACAAAGATCATAATTCGGTGCACTTAAAACTTCCTTAAGCTACCCTTTGAAACTGAGTCTGCATAAAGCGAACATCTTTCGAAGCGTCCTACTTTTACGATGAAAACTTCGGACATGGTCGTGGTAAAAATATGGAGCACATGAAGCAAAAACAATGTTTTAAAAAGCTTTCTAAAGCATGTGATTGGCGCTCGCTCGCGCGTACCCCACTGTGGATTATTTGCGACTAAAATATCCTAGACCGCGGCGAGCACCACACGTATCATTTCGGACGTTGTGAGCGAGGTCACTCACTTTCCAGGCATTCATCGGCAGAACAGAAATGAGAAGAAAAAAGAAAAGGAGGCAGCATGAAGAATTACGGTCAGCTTTCGCACGGCAAGCTTTTCTGACGCCATTCTCGGCATCTACGATCGCCGAAGATTAATCAACCATGCCTTTGAATGAAGAAGCGATAACATTTTGTCACATAAAAGTTCACTGTGACAATCAACTCTCCAATGCCACAATGTGCAAAACATCTTCCACCTTATGGTAACAGCAGATGTTGGCTGATTAGTGATAACAACCTCCACGCGGTTGCGGTGATTCCTACACCGGATAAGGAACAGAAAAGAGTGATGCCAGGTGGCCATAAACGTGCAATGTTGACACATTGCCGGCTCCCCCCCCCCCCCAAACTTATCACAGTCATTTGCGTATATCTGCTGGGCGGAGTGACGGGTGTACAAGCGCGTCATGCTGCCGTTTGCAAGTTAACCACAGCCGTGTCATGCGAGGCAGGCCGTTTGCGCATGTTGCTTGCAAAATTAGTCTTCGTTGTGTTCAACGAACAGGCAACCCGCCGCATCCAAGCCCGATACTGAGTGAAGCTTGCATGATGAATGCACAAACGTGCATATTAGATTGCGAACAACCTGACATGCGACGGCGAGAGGCGAGTAGTGGCGCACTGCACGCAACTAGCCAGGGATGATTGCTTCAAGGTGGCGGTCGGTACCGCGCTTCAGTTGTACGGCGCGTGTTCATTCTGAACGTGGTTCAATTAACTCGCGAACCCATAACAGGCATTGTTTAACACACAAAAAAGCCTTACTTGTCAGCGGAGGGGTTGTTGGCACTCTTTAATGACAAATGGAAAATAAACCCTTTGGCCACTAAGTGGACATTTCTATGGCTGAGTCCATATAAAACGAACTACTCATATAACAACCACTTATCTCGACACGTTTAAAATCGTTATAAATGGGTTTGACTGTATTGCGCTTATTTGTCGGACAGTTATGTATACACGAAGTACACGAAAATTACACAAAACATGGCGCTTGTACCTCACCGATTCGAAATGAAATATCCCCAGTTCAGTACAAGCTCTGTACACCAGCATCTAGGTTCTCCATGTAGGTTTGCAATGTCGCACTTTCAACATGTGAATTATGAAGAATACATGAGAACCGTTACAGAAAAAAAAATGCAGCACTGCTACTGCGAAACCTGTGGAACTGTGTAGAATGGTCATCCAGGGATTTCATTTTGTAAAGTTGATGACGTGAATGTTAATTTACTTAATGACATAGGGTTTTCCAGGTACGGGCCGAATCATGTTAGGGATTTTTCAAACTGGGTGCGCAACATTCCAGTTGCCTTTTGATGCTCTTCATTGACTGCCTGCTTGTCACGGCAGTCGAGATACCTGTCGTCTGTAGTGAATTTCGTCAGATTCTCTCCTCTTCCTGTTGTAGCGCCATAGCATTCTGTTGATGAGAGAGACTGTGTGAACCTGTGAGGCGGTGGCCCTCTCTATTGAGCGGCGCATGAGTCAACAGCATGTTTAGGAAGGATTTCTGACAATTTCATGATAATTGAAGCCATTATTTCGACTTTTTGTTTCAGTTAATTACATAATTTTAAACATCATTCATACATTTTAGCCCTGTTTTGAACATCGCTAGGATTGTTTTGAACCTGTATCGACCATCTAATCTTGGGCGTGATCATGCAGCATGCGATCGATGGATGGATGACATGCTGGGTGCCTAGAATGCTACACGCTTAAAACATCTTCAAGCCGCTAGCTCAAAGAAGAACTATTTTTCTGGTGGCTATAGTTATTGTTAAGACGAAAGCAGATCCTCATCATCATCATAAACAACAGTAACAAAAATATTCGAACCGTGATTCAGACTAAGTCATCTCACCTCTTCTTTAAGGACAGGCCGCATCGTCTGCGCCAGCTTGAGCAGGTTCCGGGCGTGCTCGGCCTCTGCGTATGCAATCGGGTCTCCTCAGCACAAGCTTTTCTCGAGCCGAGCTTCCCAACAATGCAATGAAAAAGTGCTTGGGCATTTAGTGCAAGAAAACAATCCATTGCATTGAGACAGCTTTTATAGGATATCAGCAGCCACGTGATGTTATCTTTGAATTGCTTATAACCGTTTCCTTATGTGGTCATGTGACGAGTCACTTGTTAGTCGCTAACAGATCACGCGAGAAGGTTTTAAGGTGAAAAAAAAATTGGCTCGGTATCTGCATGTTACACTGCAAATGTCGTCGAAAGACGATAGTCTTGCGTCTGGAGAGAGTGAACAAAACGTTTATTTGATGTTCTGCGCAAGAAAATCGGCGAATGGTATTCTGGAGGCACTGCGTTAGAGTACCTCGAGCGTGCAGCGGAGGCGAACAAGCACATCGAGTCACGCCACACGTGAGACATGAGGCATCTGGCAGTTATCTTGGAAACGCAGCGTGGGGCGTATGCGCCCGTCTCGAAGGCGATAAGGTGTAGAACGCAAGGCGACGGGTAGGTGCCACTAAAGCCTCTAGAACTTCATAAAGTAGTGACACTCTCCTCCTCTGTTTTTCCTCGGTTGCCTCTCCTTTGCACTCTCTTTTCGAATGTGGCGCCACCTGCATTTCTCTTGCGTAGCAGACGCCCTTTTGCGGCGGGAGCGCTTGCTCGGCAGACAGCGCACTGAGAGTGTTCGCGCCAGCCGTTCAACTCACCCTAAATTATCTTAATGAGTGCAACTTCAACCCATTACTGATCACACGCATGCGCATTGCGTAAGTGTGATCACACCTTGATCGAGTCACTCGGCGTCGCAGTGACCAGATGTTGACTTTGTGTGCATCACCCCTTAGTATGTATGTTCTTAAACATAGACCTGTGATTGTTAGCGAGAACCACCTTTTTTTCTTGGCCCATCGTTTAGGGCGTCTCCGAATGAGTTTTACGCTGTAAATAGCATCGCTCAAACGTTCATGTGCAGCTGCTTTGGCTTATATTTCTGTTAGCAGGTGCGATAGCACCCATGAAACCATGCAACTGTCTTTGCTTACTCCGCGCACGGGTGGTGCAAACTTCCCCCTATATAGACAGTTTCGGTGTTTGTAAACAAACTGGCGTGCACCGAACGGCCTACCCCAGTAGACTTCTGGTGCGGAACTTCTGGCAATGCTTTTTCAATGGTTCCAGCGGTGTTTTCGTGGTGTGTTTCAGTTTGCTGCTCTGTTATTTCTGGCACATTCCTTAGAATGTGTTTGCAGCAACGTCTAGCAGCTACATGAAGGGATTCACTGCTCGAGTGGCCGATTGGCACTGCGCAAAATATCCGTCTCGACGTTTCGATGAGCGCGGCCCCCTGCTCCGTGTTGCCTCTGATAGTGGTCGTGTCTGTACAAACAGAAAATGCATAAACTGCAGGAGAAGTTTGTCAGCGAACTTAATTAGGCCAGTTCGTTCTGCATGACAACAATGTGGATGCGCTTTGAAGGCGCGGACCGGGAATTGACAGCCCACACCTGTCTTTTCCTGTCAGCCTCTTCAAAGCACACCCACATCGTCGACATGCAGACGAAGAGTCGCTCGATTCATTGTGAAGTTGTTCAATTCAGCTTTTCGATTAGAACTGGAAACCAGCCTCCTGTTGAACCTCGAACATATTTGTGCTTTCTTCTAAGCATACAACCTCAGGATAAAACGCTTATTTCTGCATCTGTGTCACACTGGGCGCTTTCTAAAGAGATCAGCAGCAATCGGAATCGCTGGTGATACGAAGTGCTCATGTGACTGAGAAATTTTAAAATGTGCTGATGTGATGACGTCAACTGTGGCTGCAGGGTCAAGTGAACTATTATGGTTCACTAACGAGTAAGCTATTCATGAATTAAACATGCAAGTTGAATCTACCTAAATTTACAGCCCATGTTTCACGCCCAAAATATACATTAGCGAGAATGCGGCGATGTTCATTAGCGGCAGAAAAACAGGCGATGAGTGCATTTGCTTGCACAGATAAGATCCCACTCGCCGGCATCCCTTAAAAAAAACCAAATGCAACGACAACGAAACGTGCGCACCACGACTTGCACTGTTAAGCGCGGGTACTTTGCCTTCCGTGTTGTTTCGAACAGTGCACATATACTTGATATCGCTAAAACTATAAAATAAACACCCTTGCGATGAATTTTCAGTGTTAGCTTTCACATTTTACTGCTTATTTCAGGCGCCAGTACACTAATGTGCCACAGGTGGAACACGAAAGTGACTGCACGATGAGTTTCAGTAACCGGGCGCCTTCGACTAGTCTAACGTCTGAGTATCGCCTCTGTGCCATCCGTCTGCGCTGAGCTTGCATTATCTTTGATGAAGTGCCGAACAAACCTACGCGCTCTTAGTGGGAATCCAGTTTTCTCGCGTGATCGCTACAATGCAGCCGCTCTTCCTATCGTCGTCAGTCGGAAAACAGAATAGGTTTGACTAGCATAGAAAATTGATTTAGGCATGTAGACTGGATCCTGCCTTGACACAGCTCTGCTCGAGTTGCCAGCGCTTCATCGGAACAATTTTATACGCATAAAACATGGGAACACAAGCAGGCGCGGCCAGCAATAAACACTAAAACCACGCAAAAACAAGCGACACTGGATGCTTCCAGGGGTGGTTTTCCGGTGAACGCACAATGTTGCTAGAGACCGGCAGGCTCTGGCGAAACCGTCTATAGAGTACATAATTTGTGCAGAGAGCATTCACAGTGATCCCTATAAGTGGTCAAAATTTCGGGAGCCCTCCACTACTGCGTCTCTCACAATCATATGGTGGTTTTAGGATGTTAAATCCCACATATCATATCAATCATTCACAGTGACCGTCATGCAGTGAAAGCAACAACACGCGTTGAGCCTGTTGACGCGAGACGCCGATGTCGCCAACGGCCACTTTTAACGTTTGGTGAGGCATCTAAGGCCTTAATAATGTGTCAAAAGGCGCACATTTGATACTCTAAAACATCTGTGGTTGTTTGGTGAAGTGGTTAGACGCACCGATCATATTTCAGAAGTGCGCCTTGTGGACGTACGTATCTCACATTCGAACTGTATCGCGGAAAAAATGAGCTTGCGTATGAATTAACTAGCGTGCCAATATACGCGATTACTTCGCGAGAGCTCCACTTGCGGATATAAACCTTCACACGAAATGGCACACGAAATGACACGTATATGCGAGGTTTCTAAATGATGCACTGCACACAGTGACTCGAAGGCATGCACGCTTTGCATAACCACATGCCCTTGCATCGGAAGCCCCCCCAGCTGATCTGTCACCGTAAAAGAGCAACAAAAAGCAATTTGACCTGAAATGTACGAGCATGCAAGAAAATTTAGCGGAGAGTACCAATCATAATGTGAGTTGCTCAGTTTTGTTTATTCAAAACAGGAACGCGAAATCTCTGAAGTTCCGTAATCACAGTTTCGAGCATCTTTCCGCGTACATTCTTAACACACAAACCAGTATTGCGAACTCAAAGCAGCCGGTGCTTAACGACAAGCAGAACACGTAAGCTTGTATTGTTAAAAAAAAACTGCCGCCACAGAAGCGGTAATGAAACCCGAGTGAGAAATTGCAACGTCGTGCACAATTAACTGCACTTATCTACGGCGTTAGAGCAGGCATTCAATTGAGCAAACATTGAACCATACTCATATTGAGAGACGTGCAACTTATTTCGCAAGGTGGATTCGAAAATGTCGGCCTGAAGTTCTCATTTTTGATTCTACATAACCATGTCTTTTGTCGCAAGTGGTTGCACTTTTACGGGAGCTATCATAAAAAGCTTTCGGCTATTACTGGACTTTTTCTGGCAGCAGAAGGCGCAACAACCACTTACGACAACGAACAGCGATGACATTCTTGAATGAAAAGTATTTCACAGCACAGGGAGCACGGAAGGGGAACTTCGTATACGTCAAAACAGATGCGCTGCGCCCCGAAGAGTCCGAGCCTCCAGAGCAAAGATGGCAGTCAGGAGCGATTGTGAACAAACAAACACTGCGAGCGATCCCACCCGACGGCATCTGACCATTGCCTGACGCGGCGCCGGCCTCGAAGAGGTCGGCCGTTCGAAATATCGTCTCGTGTCTTTAGAGTCTCGTTAAGGGCGGACATACAAACAAATGCACAAACAGACAGAGCAAAATTTTGGCGTTGAAGGTTCCCAAAAAAGATTATGGATATTTAAACGTGCCTTTCCCTCACCTCCCATGATATTATCTCGTGTAAGTGCTGTGAAGGAATTCGTAGACAGGGGGTTGTGAGCTCAAGCCAACGTTTCGAAGAGCGGACTTTTCTTCAGGCTTAGAACTTGTCTGCAAGGCTAGAACTCTTCTAGCACCCCACTGCGGTGGTCTAGTGGCTAAGGTACTCGGCTGCTGACCCGCAGGTTGCGGGATCGAATCCCGGCTGCGGCGGCTGCATTTCCAATGGAGGCGGAATGCTGTAGGCCCATGTGCTCAGATTTAGGTGCATGTTAAAGAACCCCAGGTGGTCGAAATTTCCGGAGCCCTCTACTACGCCGTCTCTCGTAATCATATGGTGATTTCGGGAAGTTAAACCCCTCGTATCAATCAATCAGAATGGTTCTAGCCTACGAGAAGGGTCGGCTCGAGCGGGCAACTGCTCTGTTTTTTTTTATCTCAAAGTTCTATCTTCTTCCCCCCCTCTCCCCTTCTTTTTCGGTTGTCACAAGGCTGCATCTAAGCGAGTCACCGAAAATTTAAAGTAGAAAGCACGTGATGCATTGTAGAATATCACTGGTAACATTGTACTATTATGTCATCGTCTGTCTACAAGTGGTAGCCGAGTACTTGGCTTTCAAACCAGCAAGAGTATTTGGTGTCTTTTTCTGCACCAAAACCATTATAGTAATCGTTTCCCGTCTCTTCAACAATGCACTGGCTGAGTTTCCTGCTCCGATGATAGTTGCACAACGTTTGTAATCGGGGAATACCGGGCGTATATGGTGACAATGCAAGCAAATCAGTTTAAATTGATAAATTTTACCATGCAGGCCCGTATCCAGAAATTCCTTCCAGGGGGGGGGGGGCACCTTGTGAACACTTTGAAAAATCTGCCGCTTTATTAATACCCTTGCTAAAACACACAAATCTGTCCAAATTTTGAGGGAGGGGGCAATAAACAATAGCCCCTACTGCGGGCTTGGTACTATTAAGGCTATAATGATGTTATTCTCACTGTCATATGTTAATTAATCAAGTAGAAAAATCAAGGTCAAGATTCCATTTTTAAATATCTTGCCTAAACCTCCACGCGTGACGTCACGGTTTGATTGATTAATATATGGAGTTTAACGTCCCAAAGCCACCATGTGATAATGAGAGACACCATAGTGGAGGGCTCCGGAAATTTCGACCACCGGGGCCCGGGTTCTTAAACGTCCACCGCAATCCAAGCACACGGACCTACAACATTTCCGCCTCCATCGGAAATGCAGCCGCCGCAGCCGGGATTCGATCCCACGACCTGCGAGTCAGCAGCCGAGTACCTTAACCATTAGACCACCGCGGCGGGGCCCTTCGCATCGGTTCATGACAGTGGTAAGCAGTCACAGCCGTTACCGCTTTTGTGGCCGATAGCAAAACGTGTTCATCGCAAAGCCACCACCATCGTGGTTGTGTTCTTGTAACAGCGCGACAACTTCAGGAAGAAAATTAACACAACCACGATGAACCAACTCGCCCAAATTAACTTCTTGTTACGACCACCATCATTGGAGCACGGGTCGAGGCAGCACAATCGAGCAAATGCTATGGTCGTTCACTCACGGAATGTTAGGAAGCACTAGAATCATCGTGCGCGTTGGCACGTGAGCAGGCTTGTCACTTGTTTCTTCTTTTTTTGGATTCCGCGGGCATTTGCAGTTAGTAGGAAAACACCAAAAATTAACAGATATAAAGCTCGAAACTGTCTAATCAGATGCTCTGCAAACCGATGAGCAACTTTCTCATTGAAATGTTCAGTCCATTTTTGTTGCTTAAAAAGTTAGCTAATAAACTTGACCCCACTAAGCGATTAATCAGAACACAAAAGATAGTCTAACTCCAGGCAACAGTCAGTAACATGCATTTGATTGCGTTGTCATTGCGTGTGTCGGCATATTTTTATATTCTGGCTAAAGATAGATGGGGAACTCTGTATGTGAGGACCTTGTGAGTCATTTGTTTTTCAAATAGAAGTTGTAAATTTTATGAAAAAGACATAATGAGCTACAGACTAGCTGCAATGAGAAAGAGGAGAGTAGGACAAGCTTAATTTGACAGTGATTACGCTACTTATTCAGGTGATAGTTAGATAGTACGAAGTGACAGGCACAGTTTTGCTCAGCTCCAAGTCTGAAATGAGTGAATCAGTGCCAGGGCCCCAGACAGACAGACAGAAAGAAAGAAGCTTTCAGCATGCGCTCTATAGGCTCCGAAGCGTTTTTGACGTTTCGAACGAGTGAGAGACGAAAAAAAAAGAACTATTCCAGAGTCCCTTAGGGCGATTGAAAGTGCTCGACACTCACCGAGGTTTGCGCGTTTTTCGACATAGCTGATGACGTCCTTGGCGTACTTGGACCACACCTTGGCGCGTCGCAGAGCAAACTCGACGCCAGTCATCGATGCGCATCAACTTGGCGTCCGCCTCGGGACCAGTTAGCGTCATTGCGGTTGCTGCAGAAATGAAAAAAAAAAGAAAAATAAATAAAAGCGTGAGAAGAATATTTCGACAACCCTATCGGCCGTTGTGTCAACGGCCGTCTAAGGTATAGTCCACCGGGCCTATTAGGAAATAGCACAGGCTCGTATTTTTTGCATCATTGGAATGAGTAGACCTTTGCTGAGTGGTGTTGTGTTTGGCGGGCCACCGTTTTGCCGCGGCTGCCAGAAATGAAAAAAGGCAGTCCGCCTCGTCATTTTGTGGAGATAAGGAGCAGCCCCAAGACGCCCTGCTGTTTCCATGTGCTGGGCGCGGAGAGGCTTAAATTACTTTACGCAGCACCGCTGTCCTTCGGGTCTGCGCAAAGGTACGACACTTGGCGTCTTCGAGCCCCGGTAAAAGCCACAATGCCGAGCTTCCACCGATTACGGACGTTGGACCATCACGCTGTGCGTATTTGACTGATGAGCTGCCGACGCCCAAATCAGCACCAGATGTCCAGACATGACCCTTCGTAGGCGCCTAGACCGCGACTGCCTTTCGACAAATCATGGGTGGTCGGCCCGAACGGTGAGATGACAGACTTGCTTCACCCCGCTCAAGCAAGATTCGCCAAAGGTGGCAGCATCACCAGGGATCATACACGTGTTTGAGTATTTGCGTATGCGTATGTTGGGGGCGGTGCCAGCATAATAACACTCGTGTGTGCAGCGGAACATATTATTGGACAGTGTCGTATGAACCTATTCCCCGATCTAGGGATCTGGGGAGATAAGATTGTATTTAACCAGCCCTCGCGGGCTGCTGAGTGTGGTTTACGGAGCTTGTTTAAGAGACAGCTTTTTTCAATGTACAGCTTTCGATGTAGAGCTTCAGGCCATAGAGCCTGTGCCATGTAAATAATGTAAATAAACCCTCTCTACGAAGTACAACCTCCTCCTGCCTCGACATATTGATCCCGGATCTCCGGTGCCACAAACACCGGTTGAAACAGTGAACTTTTGCTAAGTGGAATGAGTACAACATGAATTTTACGGAGAAGCAGACAAGGTTGCTCGAGGAGTAGCAGGGGCCATGCGCATATGGGTGCACTGCTAAGTGGAACGTTCGCGTGCGAGACATGTTCGGATATCACTTTCTTGCAAAGGCGTAGGTTTGCATAAGATGTGCTTTTACTTGACAGTTTCGACAGGCTATACTGCCATGGTTGGACAAAGTTTAGCCACCCACTCGCAGTTGGCGGCAAGCAATGTGAAATATGCTCATTCGAGCATTCCCTTCCACAGTCGACCGTATTGTAAATAAGTAACTGTAGACAAGCGTATCATCGTTACCTCATTGTCCTTTTTATCAAAATGAGTGCGCTTTTCCAGCTCAGCGAGCAACACGAATCGCAGAAAGGCATAAAAAGTTTTTTTTCCTTACAAGCGCACAATTGGCAATACCTCTACGAATCATATCGTATTCATAACTTTATTATATATTCTGCAATTTTTTCTCGTTCTAATAAAGCTCGGATATAAAGGCATGGTGTATTTTGTTCAGTCCTTCGTCCCTATCACTCTCTCTAGCTCTTGTCTTTCCGGTATAAAAAGTCATTTTCTCCGAAAAATTTAAATGCGTAGCATTGCGGAAATCATTTTTCCTTCAATATATCTTGGAATACAGAGTGTCATAGGTGTTCTTAATATGCTTCATACAAAGAGTCTGTTTCAAGCTGGTGCAACTGTTGGCAACATGATAGCCACTATACGTGGATTCGCTAGAGACATGGTATCGCCAATTTTTTCAGGATTACGTCACTTTCATAGCGTACAGAATTTTAGAAGACTGCATATGTTGATAAACCGGAAGCAAATGCTCAACCTGAAGTGCTTGTAACAGAAGAGTAATTCAGTGCCGGTGCCACACACGGCTACGGTGTCGCTACGATCGTGCGTTGCGGTTCGCAGCAGGGCAAACGCTATTCTAAAGCTCTTACAGCGCCCACAGCGCTTGCAAACGGTATTCTAAAACTCCCTACATCCTCGGTGAGTCGAGAAAGTGACGTTTAAAAAATTGCGTTAGTGGGCAACGATGAACGCACAAATATTTATAAAAGCGTAATATATGTCGAGAAACGAAAACGTATTTTCGAAGAAAATGCTCTTGAAACAGAGTGCGAAGGTTCAGGACGCATAAGGAAATACTTTAAAAAGACGAATAATTGATACCGTTAGATATACAATATGAACAAAACATTGCAACTCCTTACAACAACACAGTATCGAACCACTCACCATAGGACCGTGTTGTCGGCGCCTGTTTGTCCGGGGACAGAAGGTTCTCGCAACTCTGTGAGTAAAATATAATTAACAAGAAAATAAGCACGCAGTAATGCTGCACTTTCGAGAAAGAAAGAGGAAACCGTGGTAAAGGTTACAACTAGGGATAAATGTTGTCCTAATGAACTCTGAGACGTAACAAATACTATTTCATACTATGCGTGTGACAATCTTTCGTTATATCTCGAAAAAAAAAAACACACACCCACAAGAAGATCTCAGCACAGAATGAAGGCTTGCATTTGAGGTAACTTGAGGCAGCCTACAAATTAAAGTTAGCAATTCACCAATTCAAAAGGAACGAGGAAGCGTGTTAGTTAAAATACTTAACTAATTAATATTCACAACGAAAAAAAAATGTTGTGAGCACACACGACAACTACTGTTAATTCACATGCAAAACATTTCTAGGAGTGCATTGTTTTTTTAAATCACGGTCCTAATTAGCTGAGACACCTAGTAATATACTCTTAGCATTACCCGTGCCTTGCCAATGGCGCTTGTAGAGCCTGTATCCAGGTCTCCCATCAGATACTCGGACACCCTGCAAGAGGGAACAAAATTTATTCGTCAAGCACTCGTGAAGAAAGAGTGGCATAATGACCAAGAATAAGTTGATCAAATTAATTAACTGAGTTCAGAGAAAGATTGATCTTTTGTGACAAACAAATCTGTGGCATAGTGAAAGATAAAACGAGCTTCGCTGTCTGGGTATGACAAAGATTTCTGCCCGGTGTTAACACAATCGAAGCGACTGCGCTATAAACATTGAAAGCGACGGGGCAACTATACAATTCTGCTAGTGTACGTAAGTTAATGCTGCACGTTTGCAATATCGAGGTTGTCGAAATAAATCCACAGACTCGCAACATCCGATGTTCCTCGTAATTTTATCGTGGGTTTCACACGTAGGATCAGTGATATTACATAATAAAACGCGCTGTAGACGTCTACGCAATCGCAGTGGGTGAACGAAGGTGAAGCTAAAGAGGTAACCACCTCCCCCATCACTTCAAAGAGGGGCCCAAAAAATTTTGCCTGCCCCCCTCCCCCTCAACCCCTGAATAAGTGCGAATGTAGTGAAGACATAATCATCGTAGCAAACAGCGCAATACAACAGAGACAAGAAAGACCAAACAACTATGATTAGGCGCAACAAGCTTATGTCAATAGACAGGACACAATGCGCCAGTAGAAGAATCCTCCCACCTCAAGAGAAAAAAGGAAAGCGTGGCAGACATATATACTGACGGTAAATAACCAGGCGTTGGTCTTATCTTATACACTTCAAACAGAGGGGACGAGCAGAGTCTTTCGAAGCGTTGTCCCGATACAAATACAGCCGGCCCGGTGTCGTGAAGTTTGTGTAAGCAGGTGCGGGAGGCGATCAAGATCAGATTAGGGCGCGTTTGAGTACCGGGAGTGTTTTTATACATGTATTACATATGCGTTCGTGGTTTAACGGTCGCACCGCTAAGCAGGAAGACGTAGGGTTCGAATCCTGGCAACGTACTCAGAGAAAGAGCATAGAAAATGTAGCGTGGTTAACCAGATTACATCCAGTTTGCGACCCTACACAAAGGGAGAGGAATAAGGAAGTGAATGAGAGAGAGAAGGAGAGTGGAAGTTAGTAACACACACATGATGCAGGGTGTCACAAGCGTTTGCTCAATGCTATTGCCTTCAAGTACTGATGGAGGGCTGTAATGATCACTCATAGGAGGTTTTCAATGACGATTCGTTGGGTGGTTAATGTTGTTACAGTAATAAGTACATGTTTCTTCATCTTTGTTGCACCAATCGGTGTTTTTTTTAATTACAAGCGGTATCATGCGATAGCTAGGCTACTGATATGGGATGCCTCGGCTTCTATACCTTGCCAAGCACTTTCATCTGGTGTGTTATAATGTGGCAGGTTCGCATGACTAGACATAATTCTACTGTAATATCATGTTTTATTATTATTGTTACAGCTCTTTTGGGGAGGTTTAAAGTAAGTCATTTTATTGGGATATCGACGCTGTCTAACTCTGCTAATGTTAATTTTTTGACTGAAATTATCTTGTAAATCATGATTGCATAATCACTAATCTGTAAATCATGAAAGCAGCAAACAAACTGCTAGAGAAATGTTGGAAGCTTTCATAAAAAAGAAAGGGACTGATTGTGTCGATGACACTATATATATATATATATATATATATATATATATATATATATATATATGTGTGTGTGTGTGTGTGTGTGTGTGTGTGTGTGTGTGTGTGTGTGTGTGTGTGTGTGTGTGTGTGTGTGTGTGTGTGTGTGACTTCGTATTCGACAGAAATACACTTTCCAGATAATATGTTGTCTTGACCATGTCGCTGCACGTCAAGTGTTGGCTGCTCACACATACGGAGAAATGCCTTCTTTTCTTTTTTTTTCGTGTGCATGGCCCACATTGTCAATAAACAGTTGGTAAATCGGCGCTCCACTTTCTGCTCTTTTGCTCCTCCCCTTTTCAAGAGCGTAGCATTAGAATGCTTCCAATGATTCTGCTTGTTGAACAAACTATTGTGTTTTCACTGTCGGTATTCTTCTTTGCATCGACAAGGCATCTAGCAGTGCTATATTCCATGTGGTCATTGTTCTATAAAACTTCAGCATCTTAGAAAGTGCGAGTTCTGTAAATAAATGAATAAACGCCACTCCATATTCTGCCTGTCAATGAGTGGCAAGCAGAAATATGCGGTAGCTTGTGACATTTCGTGGCTCCGACCTGTAATATTATGAATCATGGAGGGGAGCTTACTTGATGACAAAATATATGCATGTGTAGGCAGTGTGTTGCTCGCGTTAGTGAACTCGTTTACGCTGTAATTTTTGTCATCTAGGCCACGTTAAGTGTGACGCCTATGGGACGGCTTTATGCTGTCGCATAGTAGGGATACCCAGTACTATTAATCTACACCCACAGATCAACAAATGCGATTTGATGCTACCACGTTCAAACTCTTCCTTGCTGAGGCCGTGAACTCGTTCACGGCGTAATTATTGTCAACGCGGCCTCATATAGTGCGAGTTCCACAGGATTTCTTTATAATCTCCCATAGTCGAGTACCAAGTACTCTAAGTCGTTAACCGCTTTTTCTAAACTCACAGTGCTTGAAAAGGGAGGTATTGGGCTGTAAAACAAGTACCACCTTCAACAACTACTAACACACAAACAAGGAGCGGCACGAGGAAGCACGGCTTCGAGTAATAGTTTAATGGCACCCTTCATTTAAGTTTGTAACGGTGTAATAGCACCCTTCATTTAGGAATCCATAAGGGTGGAATAGCACCCTTTGTTTAAAGGTGTAGGGTGTAATAACATTTTTTATGAATGATGCAAGGGTGTTTGGCTGTTGAAACACCCTTCAGAGGAATGTGTGTATTGACATACCGAAACACTCATGAGATGGGTGTTTTGGTTTGTCAAAACACCCTTATCGTAGAAGAAAGGGTGTTGGTTATAGACACAGTAAAACACCCTTAAATATGCGCACCGGTTCACAGTGTATAGGTCTTGAAACTGTGTCGAAAAAAACCCCCCGCATGACGGGGTAATGTTGGCGCAACCTAATTTTATACAAAATCAATAAACATTAAATATGTCATGATCTCCTCTGATGTGGGCGTTATATCGGTTTAACGTCAATCGTGGTTACAGTGTTCACTACGCTTTTATAAGTCTCATAAATATTGTTTTTTTTAGTGCGAAAATGTTAAAGAACTCGTTTCGCGAACATTCTTGCATCAGCGTCATCGGTTGTGAGCAAAAGACCATCACCTTGTCTGTGACCAAAAAAAAAAACGAGAAATGTGCAAATAAAATAAGTAATAGATATATTTGCTCACAGCGAGAATCGAACCCACGCCCACGTCAGCCAGTTGTCGAACCTGATGGTACAAGTAGTGGCAAACGTGTCCCAAACATTTGTTTGGTGTTCTGCGCAAGAAAATTGATGAATGGTATTCCGGAGGCGCTGCGTTAAGTGCCTCGAGCGTGCAGCGGAGGCCACACGTGAGACATGAGCGCCATCTGGTAGTTTCTTTTGGAAAACAAAGCGCATTCCCGTGCGCGCTCATCTCAGAGGTGATAAGGTATAAAACGCGAGGCGACGGGTAGGTGCCACCACAATCTCGTCGTAGCAAAGCGTTGGAAACACTCCCCGTTCCGTGCAAGCGTTGCATGGTAAGCGCAGCATGATGAGCGCTATGGTCCTTCATATTACTTATGTATGCGTTTTCTAGTAACAGATGCATATGCAGAATATATGCATGTTGTTATGGTGCCCCAGACATGTGCAATAATTGCTTTTAATTGACAATTGCACAAGCATGAACGTTCAATCTTGAGCAACATTGGTGGTCGCTGCGGATGGGGTCGACCGTTTCATGTACCCAATGCCGGTAAGAGTGGACAAACAGACAAATGTACAGATAGACAGACCAAAACTTTTTGCGTTGAAGGTCCCCAAGAAAGACTATCGTCTTTAAAAACCACCCCCAACTTGCGGGCCTCCCGCTGCAACGGAGCTGGCCTATTGCCGCCACAGCCGATTTTGTTCACTCCAACCACGCTCGGGAGCAGCTCGATCGTAGCGCGCGAATGCGCTGTCACGTTTATTATATTTTTTTTGTGGAATTTCTTTGCAGTTTGGAGAAAATGGTAAACGTGGCACTTTCTTTACCGTGAATAATGCACTGGGGTCTTCGAAGGTGCTCTTGAATTTGACAAATCTCATTTCTCCCCAAAAGTTAATGTTTAGAAATTTCATTAAATATTTATAGTGAACATCTCAATTATTTACAAGGCAGAAATCTAGTGTGTAGGTTCATTATCACCAATTTTCAACTAATTTTACCCACCTGCCACCAATATTATATCCTTCAATTCACTGAAAAAAGCTATGTACGTACGTACGTATGTATGTACACTACTCAAAGGTAGGAAGAGCGAAAGAGCGTGGCCCGCTATGACTACCTCGATTGTTCCCACGCACCCCTTTATTTTAGGGTCTTCGGCAGACCACGGAGGTATGTCGCCGAAAGCATCCTCCCATCTTTGACTCGAAGGAAGGTGCCAAACCATTTGTGGGGGAGTCAGAGATTTTTCGTCGTAAACCCATTGTGACTCAAGCAATTTCGTGATCACGCTCCTACATAGGCACTGCCAAAAAAGTACGTCCATACTCACGTCACATAGCAGACACAAACCACCGGCTGAAACGAGCCCATTCCGCATTATCCATCTGATCGAGTAAAGCTGGAATTCGAAACACACCACACTTGTGATTGGAGTTGATCGGGACGACCCGCGAGTGGTCGCGACTGATCGCGTAGTAGGCAGCCGCACAAACAGGACACAGAGACCGCACGAAGGCAGGCAGCCTGCATTACCATGTCGCGACGAAGCTCCGGAACTGATATTCGCTTATCACCCACAGTCCCACAAAATAAAAACAAAACTCGTGAACTCACACGCGAAATTGATAAATGCGGCTAAGGAAGCACCTCGGCTCCGTGACTTCCGCCCTCCCGCTTATTTAATGAGACGATAGCACGACACGAGGCTATTTGAAAGAGATTAGAGCGTGTATATCTATAGGGCGCCCAATCTGATAAGCGATTGGCTGGGCTGTCATATTCCGCAACGCGAACAATGGTAGCCATAACGGACATATTAGGATCCCAGTGACGTTACGCAGCTGAATGCGATGTCGTGGGTTCAATCCCGGCTGAGGTGAGCTCGTTCTATTAAGGGCTAGCAGCTCGTCCACCACGCCATTCGTGCGCGTTGAAAATACGCCACGTCGCCGAAAATTGATACGCAGCTTGCAAACCAACCTCAAATGAAACTTTGCTGCAACCTCTTATGAAGACCTCCAGTAAACAATTAATCATAAAAATGCCAATACGTAGGTACAGATTGAGAAAAAGACTAACAAACTAACACTTGACTTGGCAATCATATTATAGCTGATAAATTATTCATTTAGCTTACATCTTCATCTTTTTCTTTAATTTGTCATTTTTCACAGTATAGGAACCGACCTGATAGCATTAAACAAAGTTAAAGACAAATGCAAACTAACTAGTACATGACTTGGTATTTATGACTTATTTTAGTAATGATTTATTTCGCATATACCTTCACCTTTTTCAAAGTTCCACGATATAAACATTGACCTCATAGCATTAAAAAAAGTGAAAAATTTAGACGCTTTAAAAAAAAACGAAAAAAAAAATGGATGTGTAGTTGGTGGATTCCTGACACAGTAACTTAGATCTCCATTCTCCTTTTTTGATAATCCAAACCTAGTAACGCGAGATTAATAAAGAAATTAGAGATCTTAAGCGACTATGTAGTGTCAATAGCTACAGTGTTTTCTTGCATTAATCTCTTTTAATCTCCATAATGTTTTGTTCTTTTGTGTCTCAGGGATTAATAAAAGGAGGGGAGGACGTTGTGCAGCGCACAACTCCAGATTATAGCAGGTGCTTAGCTTAGTGAGCGATTAATTGATTATTTGATTATTCGTTAGTCAATTTCATCATCCTTTATGTGTGCATCTTTAGCACGAAAGTGTTTTATGCTGGAGTCCCCCACGGCTCTGCTCTCACATTTCCTTCACGGATATGACGTTGTAAAACACACTAACAGATTGCAAATAAACAAAACTCACAGCCTTGTTGCAAAGGCGAAGCAATGAACCGATAGCAACAAATTGGAAGGTCACGCAAAGAATGGCAAGCAGATCGAAACGTGCCCCGCAATTCTTACGCACAAATGACGCACGAAAACGTACTCACAGGTACAAATGAACGCGAATAAGCCTATCAGTTGTTCGCTGTGCCTGAAAAGCGCCCTCTTTTTGCAAATGGAGACTGTGCAAAGAGTGCATTGACCACTGTGCGCCCGGTAACTACAACAGAATCCTTCCGGTTACAGCCCAAGGCGTACCATTGTCCCCACAGCGAGATAAGCGAGCGCACAGCGAGACCATCCCCTCTCCGCGGGGCAAAGTACGCGTGAGAGATGAGAGCGCGTGCCACCGCGTCGTGATGATCTGCCGACGGGAGCTCATTGCGCCATCTCACTGCTAATGCTGAAAACATGATAGTTGTTCCCTCGAGATGCCAATTGCCAGAGGTAAGTGGTACATATAAATAGCTTGCTGTTTGAACGTTGAAGGTGGTGCTCTTTCGTGGCTCAGTGGCTAACGCCTCGCACTCACAATTCAGTAATCAGAGGATCGATACCGCACACCGAAGCCTATTTCTGGATTATTTGTTTCTTGCGTTTTCATATATATAAATACGTATCCATTTACGGTGAATGACGGCGACGCCAATGCCGGTGGCGAAATCCAGCCAAGAGCGTCCGTTTGAACAACAACCAAAAATGTTGTCGCCGGGCGTCAAATGTACTACCGCTCCCTCTGCAGCGCGAAACCACTAGGCCACAAAGCGTAGTGAAGCTTGCTAATGGCAAGCTATTTTTATTCACCCATACCATTTGGTGGTCCTCATAGTCGCGCAACTTGGCGTGAAGAACTCGTGCTGGAAGCGCTCCAAAGGTCATTGCCTCTCGCGTTTCGACTCCAGAAAGTATGATCTCTCCTGCGCGGGCGCTTATCAGACTCGTGATTAGGGAGAGCAAGAAAGCCACTTCACTCGCTGCCGCGGTCACGTTTACGAAAGGAGCACTGCTGTTCACATATTATGAAGAAGTAATTGTGACAATTGTTAGGGTTCATCTTGTGTATACTGGTGTGTTCCTTTTTGTGCGTATTTATTTCTCTTTGAAGAGCGCACTTTAACGTCAAGCTGTGACAGTTGTTAGTCCGAGCCCATCCTGTGTATGCACATTTCATGCGTGCTTTCTGCTTGAGGTGCCCGCTGCAAGTTTCTAGCTGCTTGCCTTCCTTCGCGTGATGTTACGATTTGTTGCTGTAGCCTTCATTTATTCACCCTTGTGGCAAAACAATAAACACAAAACAGTCGACTGCCTCTATGAAGACACGTTTTACTTTTTTGTTATACCGATTTCTAAACAAAGGGATTAGCCACGTTTTCCTTGCCAAGCCTAAGGCGTTTTTACTCCTCTAAAAGAGTACTGACACAAAAATGCTCAGTACGTTTTTTGGTCCCCCTATTTACTTGGCGTGAACCAAAATTAGCATGAGAGGGTAAGATGGTTTGACGAATATCACGCACCGATTAAGAAAAGAATAATGTAACAATCCTGTCGTGTACATCGTAAAACACTTCCCGCCAGACAGTGCCACATACCCAAGGGCGGGTGTGTGCCGCTGGTATGTGGGTATGTGCCACAGGTGATTGACACTTAGTATATACCCAGGAACGACGAAAATACACATGGGAGATTTTAATGCACGAGCGTTAAGAAATACCCAACATCGGTAGCATCAACCCAACGAATGCGAAGAATAAATGTCAGGGTCCCAGCTGGAATCAAATTTAACCAATCTGCGTGGCAATGAAGCATTTTACCCCAAAGCTATATACGCCAGGTCTTCTCGGAACTACTTTTCAAATAGACGCTTATCTTTGTGAGATGTCAATAGTGGTTGCAGTGCTGCCTACCCAATTTTATAAACATTACATATGTACTCCTTTGATACAGCCGTACGTCGGGTTAACATCAATTGTGGTTAATTGTCATACGCTAAAGTTGATTTATGTAGCAGTGTCCAGGGCCAGCATCTTTGCGAGCATCAGCACTTCATGTCAGCTTCTGGCGTTGCTAATACGCATGTTCCAGTTGGCATCGTTGCGTGAGTGCAAACAACTAGTTATATAAACATCTGCAACTCTTGAACATATATGTGCGTGCAACACTTGTACGTATATTTAGCGCCAATTCATGACGTGTCGCTCAAAAAAAAATTGCAACACGTTATCTTCCCTCCGCATGCTTCCCATAACGTCGATTCTCAGGTACGTGGGATCTGCCGAGTTTTTTTGCATGTTTTTCTTCGTGAGCAAACAGCCTGTCACAAGTGTCTACATGAGTGTTGACCACTATACTATCTGTGTCAAATGAAACTCGCACAGCAGCAAGCTTACGTGATGGTATAGCGCGCACCATCCACTTATAACTATGGGCAAGAGCTACCGAACAGGATGCGCGCTTGTAAATCATGATGACTGTATACGAAGCGCATTATATCATTGTGAAGGTTTGCCGCTGTTCGGGTTTCATTTGATGTTGATAGTATGTGTGGCCCCCACTCGTCGTCTCGTGCTTACCTGCTGCTGAACGCGAGAGCCAGGTGGTCTACAGCCTCGAAGCATGCTTGCGATGAGGACGACCCTCCGGGCCCGTAGTCGTGTCCCTTGACGCGCTGTATAAGCGCTGAGGCAGCCACCAGCAGCTCGGCCGACTGGATGGGCGGGTACTTCTCTAGGATGGAGCGGAGGATGCGCAGAACCTGGCCCAGCCGCTCATGCGCGGCCACCAGCCGCGTCTCACGTCGCTGCTTTTCTGCCATGGGAAACGGATGCTCAGTCAACCACTGGATGTGTTAGCTCGTTGAATGCAAGCCAAAAGTTTCTAGGCCGCCATGACAAGGAAATATCTTTCCTTAACGCAGCTTCGTCATATCGCACTCGTCATGATAGCGTCAGCATTCACAGGGTAGAAATTGATGTATTTACCAGATGTCACACCTTGGTATTCATATTGTATATTGTTGTTTTCTAAATGACTGAATTACTGTACCGTCAAGTTTTATTCATTTATTTATTTAGTTATTTGCTTCTTGGAGGGTCATTGCTGTCGACAAATACGGTATTCGGCTCAGTAGTACGAATGATTTTTCTTGATAGTCAAAAAGATTCTTTACTGTCATGATATGAGCGTGATGCGAGAGATTGTTGTGATTCGTGATAGCATACATTCTTGCGCGTTTCGAAATAAACGTGGTTTGAACTTAGAGCGTGTGCTGTCTACGTCTCTTTTGTATCCGTGTCTTATGCGTAACCCACTCGAACTTACGCAGCTTTACAAACTTGCCAAGCACTTATCAGAGGTCTCAAAAATGGCTGGTCGTGCAAGACTTTTACGAGTTTCTTGAAGACGCATCGCTACCTCAGCAGGCTGCTGGAAGCTTCGCCAGGTTAGGAATTACGAATTGGGTGAACAGCCATTTTCCTTGATGAACAAGGTAGCTTTACGATCAGCGACGATTACTCTAGATCGCTGATTTTTTTAATGCGCTGAAGGCGCGCCTGCCCCAGGCACGACCAAAGCCAGTGTGTAATGACTCCTGCAGTGGCATACATATCGTAACACAAACGGTTCTGACGCAATCTTTACCTAATGGCATCTAATTCCGGAACTTGGTTGACGGATAATTTCAGGTGTTAACGTTTCCACACCGTTGTATCGTTACAATATTGCAAATAAAGCAATCCAAAGCAAATATTGCAAACAAAGAATATTGCAAGGTAACAGTATACAAACTTGTTTGTAGGCGAATTTGAGGACAACACTACTTATACAGCGCATCTAGCCTAGGCGCACAGCCAGATTTTTTTCTTATGGGGGGGGGGGGGGCATGACTTTGATTTCGGGAGGGGCACCCTCTTAAAATGAACCATCTGTTACTCTTTATGCCATGGCGAGCAAAAAGTTTGGGGGGGGGGGGGGCACGTGCCCGGTGGGCCACCCCTGGTTACGCCCCTGGTGTAGCCAACAGTATGGCCAATATACTTTTTTTCAAGCAATCCCTGCTGCTGCAGGTCGAGTGCCTGACACCTGTTCTTTGGTACAGAAATTGCACCGTATTTGTTTAATGCTAACGCCTCTGCACAGTCACGTATCTAAAGAAATAAAACAAAATAAGTTAGGGGACCGTAAAGCTTAGTCTTCAGGAGTTTAACGCGATAGCGATATCTTGTTCCTAGTGCGTACTTCAAGCACTTTGTGCACGAGACCTTTTCGAACGTTCTATGTACCCACCACGTGGCCTTAAGAAAGTAGGCGCAGTAGCATGTGTGCCTTTTGTTGTGGCTGAACGATTCTATACCGTATATATATGTGGCTGAACGACTCTATACTATGAAAGCTAGTTTCACTGCGATTCCAAGCAGAGGAAGTTCTTTTCACTGTATTCACAACCAGACGCGTGGCCATGTGGTGCAATGACCGCTTGCCACGCAAACAACACGGGTCTGGTTTCCACATGAACCCAAACGACCCTTGTTCGTCCCCCCCCCTCATCTGACCCATGGTTGTTTTTTTCCATTCATTGTATTTGGATTGTTCTTGATTTTTTCGGCCACAATCAACAATTCTGACGCCTGAATTTTTTTGCGAAACGAGCTCTTTCACGCAATCTCGTTAAAAAAAGAAAAACGCATTAACTTCATACTGGCAGATAGTAGGTACAAGACAAAGAGCACGAAGGTCCTCGAAAAAAAATTCCCCGACAATTAAGATACCAGCTAATGCGACTTGTGAGTGAAGCTTCATGTTGGGGCAACGTCAACCATGTTTGGAGATTTGGCTATCCATAGTTGAGGCAATGTTCCTCACATATTGCGACAGGAACTGCCAGCGCTCGAATGCTACCCACATCACACTCTGCACTACAGGTGTAGTGAAACATGCGGACCTCGTTACGACTAGCGATGCCAGCTGCAGTGCACGTGCCAGCCCTGCATGTGTGAGCATAAAGGTCTGGCGTGTTTTCGCAAGAAATAGCTATAAAGGAAGGGCAGCTATAGGCACCCGGCAGTGAACCAGAGGGCGCGACGAAGCTCTTTGGGCCACCTCAACATTGTTATTACCGACCGCCAGGGTTACTAAGAAAATCGAACGCTCGCTGAACACAGTGGCACGCTGAAGTGTCAATGCCCTTTTTGGCACGTTTTCAAAGAACGCTTCCTGGGTGCTTACATAATCAACCGTGACCTCTTTGCTCACAACTCAAAAATACAATGATATGCACGTGCAAGTTTGGTTTTGCTGCGTCTACTCGCTAGGCTACGCATTGGAAGACTCGGTTTTGCTGCGCCTACTCGCTAGGCTGTGTGTTCTGGCGCTACCATCATATCACGTAAACTGCATTGCCGGGTGCCTATAGGTAATCACAGCAGAGCCAGGTCGGCTGCACTGCACTGGGGAAAAAAGAGATGGGAGTGAAAGGTGTGAATTTAGATAGTGTGTTGGTGGCGGTGATGAAGGTGACATAATTGGATTATCATGATTCTCATAGCAGCAATTTGATAGTAAGTGAAGAAGGGGTGGAGCTAATGAGAGTGGGGTGATTCTGAAATGATGACAATGATGGTCAAAGTGATACTAAAGTTGGTTGAAATGGACAGTTTGAAGATTACGCGATCACTTCGTAGTGTGAAAAAGAAAAGAGGCAGACAGGGATGCGCAGTAACGGCGACGGTGATAACTATGACTAAGATCAAGGTGATAGTATACAGGCGGAGATATGATGATTGGTGATAACACTGAAGGACGCCCGACCAACGTCAACTTGTACTAAGGTTTCGACATTCATGTCGGATCGTTGGTCCCATTGTTAGCACTTGCTGTGAATGAGAATCCTGTGTCACAGCCGAAAGGTTAGTAAATATCCTTCACCATGGCAAGGTGCCCTTCAGTATTATCACCGATCTTTCATTATGACCAGACGAGATTTCGTCACACCCCGGAATTACGTGAAGGTGATAAGTACAACAAAGGTGTCGCTAGTGGTAGCAAGGGCGATTACCTTGCATTTATTTCAAGCAGGCCTGTAGCCAGGAATTTTTTTCGGAGGGAGAAGACACTTTTTTAAGATTTTGAAAAACATTTTTCTAATTTTTTTTTTGGTGAAACACTCCCTCCATACGAATTTCGGTTGGAAAAGGGGGGGAAACAACCGTTAGGGCCCCTCCTGGCTATGAACCTGATTTCCAGTGACGTCATCAAGACACCATACGATCCTCACCATGTGCCTCCGGGGCGAAGGTCTTCCTGAGCCTCCCCAGGGCCTCCTTGAAGGCTCGCACGTCGTGGGTGAGCACGAGAATGTCCTCTCGCTGGACCATGGCTCCCGTCGAGGCCGAAGACGCTCCCGCCGCTCCCTGACGGCCATCTTCTCGGCCTCCGCTGCTGTCGTTACTGCTGGCACTGCTCACGCTGCTTGCCAAGCTGGTTGCTGACTGCATACCCATATGACACGCCGCAAAGCCACTTCAGTGGCAATTGCAAAATAGTGCATCACGAGCTCGGCCAAGCAGTTTGACAAAGTAGATTGACCAAACTAGAAGAGAAACTTAGGCCAGTCGGTGGTTCAACATTGTGTTCTTAGTCCTTGTCTGTTTTACAGCATTTTTTCCTTCAAAATGTGAATTTACTGAGTCATTGATTTATTAAGTACTGGATTAGTAAAAGAAGAAAAATCGCAATCGGCAGCGGCGCTGGCGTCAACACCACATCGTGCAAAATATGATAGCGATGATGTCCCATGACTCCAAAACTTTAGACGCCAGTTATGATGTCATCATGAGGGCATTCTGACGTTACATAATGTGACGTCACATGATGACGGCATCACACGGTATAGTCGCTTGGTTAATCGTGGGCATTTTCTCAGAGGCACTACTTTAAAACAAAGTTCAGAGAACTCTAAGTGGCGAGCAAAAAGGTAAAGAGCAATCGACTGAGAAGGAGAAGAGGGCTTTGGCTTTCGAGCTGCCTTCAGTGAATGCATAGGAAATGTTTAACTTTTGACCTATATGACGTACTCATCGGCTCATTTTTTTAAATGATTCAATTTAACGTCACAAAGCAACAATGTGGACAGTGACAGACGCCGTAGTGGGGAGGGGTGGTTATTTATACATAGTTATCGACGTCGCTAAGACACAACAAGCCGTAATTTTTTTGTAATTGCCCACCCCTGTTTCCAAATATTTATTATACTTTGTAGAAAGACAGTGTTTCAACAGCTATGCAATCGCTTTCTATTTAAGATAACGCCCTGTCTCCAGATAGCATTTATTTGTGTTGATTGCTCGCAGTATTACTTTTTGCTGCTATAATAATGGGAAGAAGCTATAACAGTTTTTTACATTGCGCCGTGCATATTCTGTATGCTACATGCAAGTTCGTTTGTATAAATACGGTAACATAAACACACGACATGCTTTGGCCGCAAATAACACGAAGAAAAGTAAAGGAACACAGGACAAGCACAAGCATGTTATTAAGCAAGTACTAACTAGGCCAACAATCAGTATTGTTACAACATAAACAAACTTGAACTTTCTCACAGCGCAATCTCCTGCTCTTGTTTTGGTTCACTTCACTTCTTCTTGTACCTAAAACATTCTTATTTTCTAATGTCGTTACGGTGTGCGAAAATGTTTATTTTACCTTGTATTCTTCTATTCTGACCGCCCTGCTATGAAGACTTCAATATAAATAAATACGAAACAGCACTCTGTTGCATTTCTTTCCTACATATGCACGACCGTATCTGCCACGTGTTGAGCATGCTACCTCGCGCACCCTTGCGAGCTAAATGACACACACAGGCGAGCCACCGAAACTAATGCTGTGACGTCAGAGGACAGAATGTAGTCGACAGACTCCGCTAAATAGAACAGTTCTAACTGTTCAAGAAGCGATCGAGTAGTCATAGTTGACCCATCGTTACCGCCTCGGTCGTGCTGCATGAACCTACCAGTTTCAATGAAGTGATGGGTTATCTTAACGCACTTTAATGGGCGTAGTAGCGTTCATCTTGTCACACAAAGGCTGTCTGACTCAAAGAAGCAGCAGGCGAATTTCTTAATATCTATTCTTTATATATATATATATATATATATATATATATATATATATATATATATATATATATATATATATATATATATATATATATATATATATATATATATCACTCCGACGAAGGCAGGCCCACCTGCCGAAACGTTAGTAAAAACTGCGTTTCGTACGTTTGTCGTCTTCCTTTTTTCGACTATATATATATATATATATATATATATATATATATATATATATATATATATATATATATATATATATATGTGACGTATGAAGCGATAGTTGGTAGAGGCAGAGAAGGAAGAAGTGAGAACGAAATAAACATGGCGTATGAGCCAGGCCACGTCGCCCATTCATCGTAGCGTCACACAAGTCGGCAGGATGAAGACATCCCAGCCACTTCGTCAGTGTCTCATCATCGACGCAGTTCTCCACAAGACGCCCTGACCATACATCGACTACGGAATCATCTCCTGGCCGCACACAGCGACCAGCACTATGACCGAATCATCGACTGACCTTCCCATCCCTAAGTACACCGGAGCAGCGGACGATGGACCTGTACAGGACTGGTTCGACCTGTTCGAGCTCCACGCAACCGCTGCATCATGGTCGGAACGGGAGATGATCATCAACTTTACTGACTACATCTCAGGTGAGGCATTCAAATTTTACCTCACCCACATCTTCGAGAACGATGAGTCTTGGAAAAAGATCAAAGAAGAGATGATTACCCGTTTCAAAGAATACGATGAAGACCTGTTCATACCTCATCAGCGGAAGGCTTTTCAACTGACCCATCACAGTTACGCGAAGTCTTCCCGCAGTAAGCCTATTTTCCAAACGAGATCTCAGAGAAAATATACCACCATTGTACCATCATATGACTCTTCCGAAAAAACGTCACGCATTCGAACACCGACTGGTAACTTGCACGTCGCAACAGACAAGGTAAAGCCTCCGTATACCGAAGGGAATCTAGACCATTTCGGCAAAAGACTAAACCTAAAGCCGGCTTTCCCAAGAACAATGAAATCGGCATTTTCAACGTGTTCACTGCACCACAACACTTCAGATTTTACAGAACCACCCAAATGTCTCGATGTATCGTGTCACACACAAGGCCCAAACGGTTTCGAGCGTGTGACGGAATTTACGAGTGACGAGCTGGTGAATCCTCGCAATACCAGCCCCCACCCTGACGTTCCCGACCAGGGTCGTTCGACAGACATTGTCAGCCTAACTACGCTGCAAAAGGAAAAACATACGCCATCAGAACCACCTGAAGCCAAGTCTGTTGTGCTCTCATCGTCAAGTGATAACACACATGTGAGTCAAAGCACTGCAGGAATTTTGAATCCACCAACGCCGGCGCAGTGTCAACTGACAGAAGCATTTAAAATCAATGATGACTCACAACCACCTTGGGAGCTTTCTCATCAGTCTGTCACGATGCTTTCATCGCAAGACAAGCCCAGCAGTACAGTATCGACCACCGACTATCTACTGATCACATCACCATGCAAAGAAAAGCAGACTCATGTTCCTGAAAGAGGTCCATCTGACGAACTTTCACAAGAAGACGAGCAATTTCAACAAAGGCAACTTCACGAACTCCAAGAACTGCAACGGCTACTCGAACAAGAACAGCGATCAAGTGAAACCTTCTCACGAGTACACTTGTGGCTGAAAGATCATCAGAGACAACATCAATTAAAGAAGCAAAGACGAAGTCGATGCCTAAGCCATCTTCGCAGAAAGCAACGTCGACAATGTTTTCTGCACAAGTTCTCAACGCCGTGTCTACGATTCAACAAACTGAGAAAAGACAACAAAAAGCTGCGAAAGAGACGTGCAGCTACCATGTGTACAATGAAGGAACAAAGGCATCATACCATCAGCTTCGGTTCTCGCACATGCAGGCTGCAAGCACTCGTTCTGTCTCAGCCACGACACAGAAAGCAGCGTCTACGACGGAGAACTTCGTGCCTACGACATCCGACTCTCAAATGCTACAAGTACTTCGACCCTTGTTCATTCATGACGAGAATCGCTGTGTCATCAGTAATTTCTACGTTCAAGGCGTGCTTCAGTAGTCCAGAACGCAACAGCCAACCTCGCCCACCTGAGGTCTCCTAGATCTCACTGGACTGCCTTCCTTGTGAATGTTTTTGTGCAAGTGCATGGAACTGCCGTGTTACATGGAACTACTCTATTTTGTGATATTTTTTACTATGATGAGACACCACTTGTTCATGCTTCTTAGTTTGTAGCTCGCGCATTCTTTCGGGGGGAGGGGGAATCGTGTGACGTATGAAGCGATAGTTGGTAGAGGCAGAGAAGGAAGAAGTGAGAACGAAATAAACATGGCGTATGAGCCAGGCCACGTCGCCCATTCATCGTAGCGTCACACACACACACACATATATATATATATATATATATATATATATATATATATATATATATATATATATATATATATATATATATATATATATATATATATATGTATATATATATGTATAGTCTATTTCTTTCTCTCTCTCTATTGCTCAACGGTTCTCTCTCTTTCTCTTTTTCGTTTTTTTCTTACAATATCTGCTGTCGAAACTGTCTTGTGCACAACAATGCTTTATCGCAAGATGATTCGACTACCTTCTTTTTTACATTTATGTCACCAGTTGAATTTAAACGTTGTGTATCTCGCTGTGACTTCTCTCATGCGTGCGCTTCTATCGTGTACATCGTCATTGTCTACAGCACGTCGTCGTGGTTCGTGTACAGGTGGCACGCGGTCTCTAATTAGAGCGAAAGGCAGCAGAGCGTGGGCAGGACAGCAAGCTTGATAGCGTGGCTGAACGCTTCAGGAGCGCCTGTCGGGGTCTTCTTGTTTCCACGCGCCGGCTTCTGTCGCGTGATATGTACGCTTAAGTACCGTAGCTCGCTCACGTTCTGTTTTCGCCCCGGAAAGAAAGCAGAAGCACTTGTCAAGCTGTTGTCCGGCTGACGGAGGGACAAAATAAAACTCACAGCGTAGATTATGCATTCACCAGTAGGATTCAAAAGTGGAAAAGCATTGTTTTGTTATTTATTTATTTATTTTACGTCAACTGTACTGATCCTACCCCGCCGTCCTCCGAAAGCATTCTGCACCCAACGCGGATTTCACGCTGGCTCGCCAATCGACCCACCTTTAGCTAAGCGACCACGTCACATCATGATGTCATTGTGCCACATCAATGTTACGTCACAAACTTGGACGACCTGTGCCGTCATGATAGTCAACTAATCTTCTTTTTTCTCCATCACTAGTGTTGACGCCCTAAACGCCTGTAAAGACTCTTCTATTTATTTTTTATTTAATCAT